TTTTTTTAACATTAGAGAGACAAGGTCTCGCCAAGTTGCCCAGGCTGGTCTCAAACCCCTGGGCTCAGGCAATGCTCTCGCCTCCGCCTACCAAAGTGCTGGGATTACAGGCGCGAGCAACCACTAATTCAACACTCTATTCAAAACGAGGAGCATATCTTGCTGGGTTAGGCAGTTGGTCGTTTCCCGGGACACAGTAGGCACAAGTTGGACTACACCAAAATGAAAAGCTTTGTGCTGTAAACGATTCCAAAAAGTGGGTGAAAAGACAACCCAAAGAATGGAACACCGTGGCAAATCCTAAGGGATGTGCATCGAAATGAATTTTCACATCTCGGCAATTGAAAGATGATTCCACTTAAAAATGGCCAAGAGGCTGGGAGTGGTGGCTCACGCCTATAATCCCAGCACACTGGGAGGCAGAGGTGAGAGGATTGTCAGAACCCAGGGTCCGAGACCAGCCTGGGCAACTTGGCAAAGCCTTGCCTCTCCAACAATGATAAAAAAAAAATTTAAAAACTTAGCCGGTCGTAGTGGAGTGTGCTTGTGGTTCCAGCTACTTGGAAGGTTGAGGCAGAAGGATCGCCTGAGCCCAGCAGGTAGAGGCTGTGGTGGCCGTGAGTGTGTCACTGCACTCCAGCCAGAGTGAGACTCGGTCTCAAAACAAACAAAAAAAAGCACAAGGAATCTGAGTAGGTCTCTCTCTAAAGATATGCAGACGAACAACAGGCACATGGCAATAAAAACTAAAGCTACAAGGAGATGCTATAGTTAAAAAGACCAAAAAAAAAAAAACAAAAAACAGTGCTGGGAAGGATGTGGAGAAATCAGACACTCTGTTACAGCGGGAAAAGTTCCTCAGAGAGGAACTCAGGGAATTACCCTATGATCCCCCACGCTCAGGTACATACCCTAGAACAATGACAACTCGTTCACATGAAGACTTGGACAAAAGTGCCCACCAGCAGCATTACTGAATATATGCAATAGTCAAAAGGTGGAAACAACCCAAATGTTTACGCGGTGATGGATGGGTAAATGCCTGGTATGTCCATACCGTGGACCATGACTGGGCAGTAAGCAGTGAAGGACCCATGCAGGCAACAACATAGATGAACCTTGAAAACATTATGACAATCACGGAAGACCACAGATCGTATGACTCCGTTTATCAAATGTCTACAATAGGCAAATACACAGAGACAGAATGTGGACTTGTAACTTCCTAGGATGGGGGTAGGGACTGACTGCTCGTGGGTCGGGGGTTTCTTTAGAGGGAATGAAAACGTTCTAAAATTAGATTATGATAGTTGTACAACCCTCTGAACAGAACTAAAAACCAGCAAACTACAGAATTTAAATGAGTGAACTGCATGGGATGTGAATTACATCTAATAAAGCTGTTTAAATTAAAAAGGCAAGAGGTGTGCTGCTTTCTACCAGTTGAATTGCCAATGCAGCGGCTGGTGCTCGGACAGTTATCTTGAGACTCAGGGTCTACAGGTTCTGTGACAGGCAGATCAGTAACAGGAATCTGAAGATTTCATGAAATTGATCTACCAGTCCCTCAGGACTTTTGCATGGGAAACAATTCGATCTTTTTTCTCTTTTTAGAGTCGGAGTCTCACTCTGTTGCCCAAGCTGGATGGAGTACAGTGGCATGCTCGTGGCCAGCGCAGCCTTGACCTGCTGAGCTCAGGCGATCCTTCTGCCTCAACCTTCCAAACAGCTGGAACTACAGGCGCAAGCTACCATGCCCGGCCAATTTTGTCATTTATTGTAGAGACAAGGTCTCACCAAGTTGCACAGGCTGGTCTTGAACGCTTGAGCTCAGGTAATTCTCTTGCCTCAGCCTCCCAAAGTGCTAGGATTACAGGCTTGAGCCAACGCGCCTGGCAACAATTTGATCTTATAAGCAACGATTATTTTGGACTTTCATAGCTAAATCTAACGCTAAAGAATACATGACCCACTCTAGAGCAAGTCATTCCATTTTACGTGGCTCAAATCCTTAACCTACAAAACGGGCACGTTTTGGTTCTGTCATAACAGTGTAAAGATAGACTAGATAATGCATGTACTAAAGATCCATTTCCTTGGAAAT